CACTGCAGTCTCAAACTCGTGGGATCAAGTGATCCTCCCACCTCAGCCTCCTGAGCTGCTGGGACTGTAGGTACGTGGAACCATACCTGGCTAATTTCTTTTCTTTTTTTTTTTTTTGAGACAAGGTCTCATTCTGTCACCCAGGCTGGAGTCTAGTTGCATGATCCCTGCTCCCTGCAACCTCCACTTCCCTGGGCTCAAGGGATTCTCCAGCCTCAGCTTCCTGAATAGTGAGGACTACAGGCGTGAGATAACCATGCCCAACTACTTTTTTGTATTTTTTTGTACAAACAGGGTTTCACTGTGTTGCCCAGACTGGTCTCAAACTCCTGGGCTTAAAGTGATCTGCCCGCCTTAGCCTCACAAAGGGCTAGGATGTCAAGTGTGAGCCACCATGCCTGGTCTCTAACTTTTTTTTTTTTTTTTTTTTTGACAGAGTCTCACCGTTTCCCCCCGACTGGAGTGCAGTGGCGGGATCTTGGCTCACGGCAACCTCCACCTCCCAGGTTCAAGCGATTCTCCTGCCTCAGTCTCCTGAGTAGCTGGGGCTACAGGCGCGCATCACCATGCCTCTCTAATTTCTGTATTTTTAGTAGAGACAGGCCTGATCTCGAATTCCTGACTTCGAGATCCACCCACCTCAGTCTTTGACAGTGCTGGGATTACAGGCGTGAGGCCAACATTTTTTATAGAACTCAATCTCCAGTCCCCACTTCCCCTTCCTGGAAGTCAATAGGTGGAACTGAAAACTCCAACCCTCCAGTCACTTTATTTTTGTGGTGGCCAGCCCTAACTGAGGCTATCAAGGGACCTCACCCTAAATAACCTCACTAACATAAAATGAGATGTGATAAAAGGTGGCTCGCGCCTGCATTCCCAGCACTTTGGGAGGCCGAGGTAGGTAGATCATTTGAAGTCGGGAGTTCAAGACCAACCTGGGCAACAAGGTGAAACCCTGCCTCTACTAAAAATACAAAAATTAGCCAGGCATGGTGGCAGGTGGCTGTAGTCCCAGCTACTTTGGAGGCTGAGGCAGGAGAATCGCTTGAACCCAGGAGGTGGAGGTTGCAGTGGGCTGAGATTGTGCCACTGCACTCAAGCCTGTGGGGCAGAGCGAGACTCTATCTCAAAACAAACCAAACAAACAAACCAAAAAAAGTGATTTTTAGGCTGGGTCTGGTGGCTCATGCCTGTAATCCCCACACTTTGCAAGGCTGAGGTGGGCAGATCACCTGAGTCAGTAGTTCAAGACCAGCCTGGCCAACATGGTGGAAACCCATCTCTACTAAAAATAAAAAAATTAGCCCGGCATGATGCACATGCCTGTAGTCCCAGCTGCTCAGGAGACCAAGCAGGAGAATCACTTGAACCCAGGAGATGGAGGTTGCAATGAGCCGAGATCATACCACTGCACTTCAGCCTGGGTGACAGAACTAGAATCTGTCTCAAAACAAAAACAAAACAAACAAAAAACCTTGAGAGGTGAGGCAGATGCATGAGAGAGTACCCTTTATCCAATATCATTACCAAGATTAACCTCTTAACCTTCTGCTCCAGAGGGAGATAATTTGTTGGACATGCAACATAGCTCTAAGGATTAGTTAATAGACAAAATTACAACAAATTTAGTTCAAATATCTTAATCTGAGAAGAGTTAAAGGTCTAAATCTGAGGAGATGGGCCCTTTCTGAGATTTTAAGCAACATCAAGACATTGTTCTCCAGCTGAAGCACCACAACCGTGAAGACAAGTGGAGAGGCAGAAAACAAGAGTCAACTATTTTCTCTTTTCTCCCCCAATCACTATACCAAAAGGATGTTTTCAGTGATCAAGTATAGTAAACATATGAAGCACATAAACCAAAAAGGAATTTATTATTACAAAAAGTTTTGCAAGGTGATAGAATCTGAGTCTAAATAAGAACTGGGTTTCATTGAAGCCCTTTGCTTCACCATCCTATTGGCATTCTTCCAGGGCCTTCTTGAAAATGACCACAGAATGGCTGCCACTGTTCTGGACATCACATCAACGGGCCCTCCTGAGCAAGAAGAATAAAGACAAACAGAAAAACTGACTTCATTCACATGCCTGTCTCATTTTATAAAGGAGGAAAACATTGGCCAGGTGCAGTGGCTCATGCCTGTAATCCCAGCACTTTGGGAGGCCAAGTCAGGCAGATCATGAGATCAGGAGATTGAGACCATCTGGCTAACACGGTAAAACCCCGTCTCTACTAAAAATACAAAAGCAAAATTAGCCGGGCTTGGTGGTAGGCACCTCTAGTCCCAGCTATTCAGGAGGCTGAGGTGGGAGAATGGTGTGAACCCAGGAGGTGGAGCTTGCAGTGAGCCAAGATCACACCAATGCACTCCAACCGAGGCAACAGAGCAAGACTCTGTGGGAAAAAAAAAAAAAAAAAAGAGGAAAACATCTTGCCACCTGATTAGAATGGAATTTACTTATCAGGTAATGAGGGGTGGCAGGTATTATGTTGATGCAGGTCTCTGAAGAGGTACTTCCTTGGCAGCTGCTGGAGACATAGAGATCAACCAGACATGGGCTCTGCCCTGGAGATGCCGATCACCCGGATAGAGAGATGAGAGTGCAGTGCTTGGGTCATGGTAGACTTGGGGTATATAATGATAGACAGATGCCTGGTTCATTATGGGATCCCCCAAAAGGAACAACTAACTCAGACTGACAGGGTCTAGGATTACTTCCTGGAGCAGGTAACACCTGAGCTGAGTTTAAAGGCCTGGGTAAAGGAGAAAAAAATAATTCAATCTAGGCAGAAGGGAGTGAAAGCACACAGGAAAAAAGATAAGACATAGCAGGCTATCTTTTGTTGTTAGAGCATAGATGGAGGCAGACAGGCAGACAGCAATACACATTGAGTGTGCAAGCAAGAAGCAGAGGCCATCTCTTGGAGCATCTTGAATCTACAAGAAAAACTTGGAATTCTCTTTAAGGACACAAAAAGTCACATAAGTAGGAAAGGGACTCACTTATCAGGTGTGTACTTCAGAAAAATATTGCTCTAGAGTCCTGCAAAGGGATGGCTTTGAGAATGTTTCTGATTAGAGGCAGAGGCTGTAGAGTGGAGAATGTTGCTGGAGATCAAGGTGAACTTGTTGAAGACTTACTCAGGGAGAAATAGTGTGACACAGAAGAGGTGTGGTTTAGGGAGAGATTGTCCAGGCTTAGTAGATGAGCCTTGAAGACTGGATAGCTATGGAGAGTGAGGAAGAATGAGTGCTCTTTATAAATCCCACATTCCTTAAGTTGTGATTGCTTTATTGTAACTCATCTGCTATGATGTGAATGTTTGTTTCTCCCCTCCCCAGTATGGAGCATAGATGGAGCTTCAAACCAGTATGGAGCTTCCCCCAATATACAGAGGGGAGAAACAAATGTTAGTATGGGAAATTCTAATCTCCAAGGTGATGGTATTAAAAGGTGGGGGTTTTAGATTATGATTGTTCTGCCCTCATAAGTAGGATGAGTGCCTTATAAGAGTCTTATAGGCACTTGTCTTTCCCTTTTACCTTGTGAGGACTGATAGAAAGCACTGTCTGTGAGTAATGGCCCTCACCAGATGTTGAATCTGCTAGCACCTTGATCTTGGACTTTACACCCCCCAGAACTGTGATCAATAAATTTATGGGGTGTGTGTGTGTGTGTGTGTGTGTGTGTGTGTGTGTGTGTTGAGACAGAGCATCACTCTATCACCCATGCTGGAGTGCAGTGGCATGATCTCAGTCCATTGCAACCTCCATCTCCAGGGTTCAACCAATTCCCTTACCTCAGCCTCCCCAGTAGCTAGAACTACAGGTGCACCACCATGTCCTGCTAATTTTTATATTTTTTGGTAGAGACAGAGTTTCACCATGTTAGCCAGGCTGATCTCAAACTTGTAACCTCAGGTGATTCACCCACCTCAGCCTCTCAAAAGTGCTGAGATTACATATCAGGGGAACCTGCCCCCGATAATTCATGTAGGTTCTTTTTTATTTCCCTAAGTGTCAGCCAGTCTGAGAAATAAAGGAAAAGAATACAAAAGAGAGAAATTTTAAAGCTGGGTGCCCAGGGGAGACATCACATGTTGGCAGGTTCCATGATGCCCCGCAAGCCACAAAACCAGCAAGTTTTTATTAGTGATTTTCAAAAGGGGAGGGAGTGTATGAATAGAGTGTGGGTCACAGAGATCACATGCTTCACAAATTAATAAAATATCACAAGGCAAATGGAGGCAGGGCGAGATCATAGGACTGGGGCAAAATTAAAATTGCTAATGAAGTTTTGGGCATGCATTGTCATTGATAACATCTTATCGGGAGACAGGGTTTGAGAGCAGACAACTGGTCTGACCAAAATTTATTAGGCGAGAATTTCCTCATCCTAATAGGCCTGGGAACGCTACAAGAGACTGGGGCTTATTTCATCCCTCATCTGCAACTGTAAAAGACAGACATTCCCAAAGCAGCCATTTCAGAGGCCTCCCCTTAGGAACACATTCTCTTTCTCAGGGATGTTCCTTGCTGAGAAAAAGAACTCAGTGATATATCTCCTATTTGCTTTTGAAAGAAGAGAAATATGGCTCTGTTTTGCCCAGCCCACAGGCAGCCAGACTTTAAGGTTATCTCCCTTGTTCTCTGAAATCACTGTTATCCTGTTCTTAAGGTGCCCAGATTTCATATTGTTCAAATACACATGCTCTACAAACAATTTGTGCAGTTAACGCAATCATCACAGGGTCCTGAGATGACATTCATCCTCAGCTTACGAAGATGATGGGATTAAGAGATTAAAGTAAAGACAGGCACAGGAAATCACAAGAGTATTGACTGGGGAAATGATAAGTGTCCATGAAATCTTCACAATTTATGTTCAGAGATTGCAGTAAAAACAGGTGTAAGAAATTATAAAAGTATTAATTTGGGGAACTTTAATAAATGTCCATGAAATCTTCACAATTTATGTTCTTCTGCCATGGTTTCAGCCGGTCCCTCCGTTCAGGGTCCCTGACTTCCTGCAACAATTACAGGCATGAGCCACCATGCCTGGCCTAACTTTATGTTGTTTACAAATTATCCAGCATAATAAATGTTGTTATAGTACCTTGAATGGACTAAGAGACAAATTAGTCTAAATGACCATAATGTGTGTATCAAGTGAATCTTCTTGGAGGAGGATGTCCTCAACGTAATGCTGTATGTGTGCTCATGGAGATTGTGGATGTCATTAAGCTCTTGTCTGCAAAGCTTGTGTGTGATGACAAAGCTATGAGGGTACCCCTAGGTGGCCTGGAAAGGTGTATTGTGTTTCTTCAGAGGTGGAGGCAACTGTAGCTGAGGGTCTGTAGAAATAAGCACTTAACAGAACATGCTAGCCAAATGAATTAGAGCAAAATGTTTACCAGTTCTTGATTGAATAGTATTAGCAATTTTTAATAATATTAGATGTTAGATATGGGGGCCCTGATAGATGGGACTACAGCCTTAATGCTGTAGTAGTCCATCATAAGACATTCTTTATGATTTTTTTTTTCCAGATATGGGAACAAGAAGCACTTTGGACTGTTAAATGGAGATGCAGTATGGATAGTCACTCTTTTATTAATCATGTTTTGTGTAACAAATTTTAATTATTGAAGGCCATGTTTCACCCTACATTGGGCCGTATTAACTATCTTAACTGGGGGACTAAGTGATCTGATTTTATCAAGCCAATCTCTAAGTGCAAACAACTTACTTTAATTTTAATGTATTATTTATTATGTCTGCTCTACCTCCAACATGTTCTATTTTAGAGCAACGTACCTCCAACATAGGCTATTTTAGAACAATAGGTATGACTATGGGTAATTTAGGCAAGGCTGTAGTTAAAGTGAGGTATACTCATTTTTCAAAATTTTATATATAGTTGCCTTCTCAAGACAATAGGGGCAGAGTGAGTACATTTAGCGGGATCCTTGCAGGGAGCCAAAGACCCCATGGGATATGACCAACTCAGCATTCCACTGGAGGCTATATGATCAAACAGCACACGAATGCAGGATGTGGGCAAACTCACGATTACTGCTGCTACCAGAAGGTTTGCTGAGGGCCATCGCTTCCTGGTGCCGAGCTCCTTGAGGTTGTCTACTGGGACATCTAGAGAATGCAGTCTTGCAAGCCTACTCTGGACTGAGCAGCTGACCCCTTCTTCCACCCCCCTTCTCACTATCTCTTTTGACTAATAAATATGGAGGGCTATGTAAAGCTCAGGGCCCTTGTCCACTAGAGGCAAGGTGCCCCCTGACTCCTTCTTCCAGATGTACTCTTTTGTCTCTTGTCTTTTATTCTCGTGTTCATCCCCCTTTGTTCAGTCCACCAGGGATTGTGGCACATTACATGGTGGTGTCCCGAACAGCCCCAGAATTGGGTGCTCTACAGGTGGCACTCAAACAGGCGACAGTCTGAACACGGGACTATGAGGACATGAATGAAGAAGATCTCCTGGAACAGGGGAAACGGGGACCCCAGGACGAGTCGGCCGGCAGTGGATATAAGGTCAGTGCCCTAAAGAGGTACTGACCAGTGCCCTAAAGAGGTACTGGGAGCAGTGCCTTAAAGAAGTACTGGGAATGGGAAGTTTTCTGAATCAGGGTAACATGGGGCAGATTTTGTCTACTGAAAAAAAACATTATGTGCAGTTGCTTAAAGTTTTGTTGAAACAAACTGGTGCTCAGGTTAGTTCTCAGACATTAACTAAGCTGCTGCAGGAGATTATTACACATAACTGATGGTTTCCACAGGCAGGCACTCTTGATGTGGAAAATTGGGACAGAGCAAGAGAAGGATTAAAACAAGCTCATCAAAAAGGTCTTAAAATTGATTATTCTGTTTTATCCACTTGGAGTTTAGTTCATACTGTACTTGTGCCATTATCTCTTTATTATTCTGCGGGACAGCAGGCTGAATCTAAAAATCTGAATCTGTTGTCCCACTCACAGCTCCAATTGAAAATAAAAAACAGGAGAGGGAGGATAAAAATTGGCCTATACCGCCTCCTCCAGTTGCAGAAACATGTGTACCGCCTCCTTTGGTAGCAGAAATAGAGACCCCAATACAAAGAATTTTATGCTCTGCTGCTATAGCTGAAGAGCCCTTAGGATCTTGTGTTTTTCCTATTTCCATAAGGCCTGATCCAAACAATCCACAGCAGGTTATTCATGAACACACCCCACTGGAGTTTAAGTTGTTGAAGGAATTAAAAGCAGAGTGGTAAATAATGGCATACAGAGCCCATTCACCTTAGGATTGCTAGAATCTGTGTTTGGTGCTATGCGTCTTTCACCCTTTGATGTGAGACACTTGGTGCACACTTGATTGTCCGCTAATGCATATCTGACATGGAATTTAAATTGGCAAGAAATGTGTGCAGACCAGGCTAAACAGAACCGTGTTGCTGAACAGAGACATTACAGAGGATATGCTATTAGGTAATGGCGCTTATTCAGACCTGGGAAGTCAAATGGCACTCCCAGATGCTGCTTATCAGCAGTGTGCACAGGCTGTTGAATGCGCCTGGGCCACTGTTCCTGAAGAGGGAGTCCCAGTACAATCCTTTTTACAAATCATGCAAGGGTCACAGGAACCCTATGTGCAATTTCTTGCAAGATCACAAGAGGCAGTGAAGCATCAGATTCCTCATACCACGGCTGCAGAAATGCTAACCTTAACTCTAGCTTTTGAGAATGCAGACACGGATTGTAAACATGCACTGGCACTGGTGAGGTGTATAAAAAACTTGGGAAATTTTCTCAGAGCTTGTCAAGATGTAGGAACTGAGCTTCATCACTTTGCAATATTAATGCAAGCAGTGGCTAATTTAGCAATTGACAAATCTAAAAGGAGCCAAAGGTCAACCCTAAAATGGGAAAATGTTATAATTGTGGAAAACCTGGGCATCTTATAAAGGAATGCCACCAGATCTCAGGAAAGAAAGGACCTTACAATGCAGTGCCCCACCCAGCGGAAGAAACGCCAGGGCTTTGTCCTTGCTGTAACAGAGGAAATAACTGGGCTAATCAGTGCCACCCAAAATTTCATCAGAAAGGCACCCCCCTGCTGGGAAATGAGACAGGGGCCTGGACCCAGGCCCCACAAACAATGAGGGCATGCCCAGTCCAGACCTCAACCCTGTTTCAGGCATGGGTTCCCAGAGGCACATTGATTCCCTCACCCCAGGAACACCAGGAGTGAAGGATTAGATCTCCCAGTCAGAGAATGGGTAATGTTAGTTGGGGCAGACAAACCCATCTAAGTTCCCACTGGTATTTGGGGACCTGTACCAGCAGGATATGTGGAACTAATTTTAGGCAAAAGCTGCCTTAACTTACAGGGCATTACTGTAGTCCCAGAAGTTGTTGACTCTGATTATGGAGAAATTCAAGTAGTTTTAATGTCACAAAATCTTTGGGGTTTTGAGCTGGGAGAATATATTGCTCAATTATTGCTTATTCTCTGCAAATCACACCCTTCTCCATGAAAGGAGAAATGAGGAAATAAAGGGTTTGGGAGCACAACTACATGGGAAATCTATCTGTCCCAACCCATAGCCTCTAATAGACCCACCTATGTAGTACAAATTAAAGGAAAGAAATTTTATGGTCTTATGGATAAGGAAGCTGATATGTCAGTAATATCTAGAGACAATTGGCCCCCATCCTGGCCTTTGCAATTAACTTCTCCATCCTTAGTGGGAGTAGGAACAGCTGAAAGTGTTCAACAGAGCGCTGAGATTTTACCTTGTCTTGGTCCGGATGGACAGTCATGTACTTTTCAGTCTTATGTTGCAAATATAGCTATCGATTTATGGGGTTGAGACTGACTTACAGCATGGGATAGGAGACTTACAAATGAAAACTTGCATAACCCCGGATTTAAAATGTTGAAGAACATGGGCTATCAGAGGGGAAAATGTTTAGGAAAATTTCTTCAAGGAAATCCTAACCCAGTATCAGTAATAGAAAAACAGAGAGAAAAGGGATAGGATGTCAGGATTTCTGATGAGGGTCATTGATATTTCTCCTCCGCCCACTGCCTTTACCATTAGAATGGCTCAGTGAAAAACCTGTATGGGTGAATCAATGGCCCCTATCTCAGGAGAACCTGATGCAACTTCACCAGCTAGTAAAAGAACAATGGGATGCCAGACACATAACCCTGGAATTCTCCAGTGTTTGTTATTCCAAAAAAGTCCGGAAGATGGCGACTACTACATGATTTAAGAGCTATTCATGTACACGTAAAACTGATGGGTGCCTTACAAAAAGTTTTACCATCTCCAGCGGCTATTCCAAGAGACTGGCCTCTTGTATAATAGATCTTAAGCATTGTTTCTTTACTACACCCTTACACGAGAAGAATAAGCCTGTTTTGCCTTCTCTGTGCCTTCTATTAACCAAAGAGAACCTGTTTCCCATTATCAATGGAGAGTTTTACCCCAAGGCATGCTTAACAGGCCTACACTATGTCAGCATTTTGTAGGACAAGCATTCAAGGAGCCTCGGAATATGTTTCCTACCGCTTATGTCATTCATTTTATGGATGATATTCTTTTGGCCGCTCCTACAGATCAAAACCTACATCAGTTATTCAGAGAAACGAAGCAGGCTCTGACTAAATGGAATCTCAAAATAGCTCCAGAAAAGGTACAAACAACTTCCCCAGACCAATATTTAGGAACGATTGTTACAGAGAGAAGTGTACCAACTCAGAAAGTAGTTCTCCGTAAAGACAGGTTACAGACTTTAAATGATTTTCAGCAATTATTAGGAGATATTAATTGGCTACGCCCGATGTTAGGTATTGCTACCTATCAACTTACACATCTTTACCAAACCCTGCAAGGAGATTCTTCCTTCAATTCCCGGCAGCAACTAACTAAAGAGGCAGAAGCCGAATTACAGCTTGTAGAGCAAATGTTACAACAGAGATATGCCTCATGGCTACAACCACAAAAACCTTTGCTTTTGTTTATTCTTCCTACCCCCCACTCTCCAACAGGACTTTTGGGCCAGTTCATAGACAAGTCTGTAACAGTGATAGAATGCTTCCTTCTATCTAATCAAACAGTCAAAACCTTGCAAGTTTATCTTTCTTTAATTACACAAATTGTAACTATGGGCAGGCATAGGTCAAAAATGCTTACGGGATATGATCCTGACAAAATTATTGTTCCTTTAGACTCCCAGCAACAAGCTGCAGCTTGGGAAATGAAGACTGCCTGGCAAACTGCGTTCGCAGACTTCATGGGTGCTATAGATAACCATTACCCTCAGACAAAATTGTACATTTAATAAAATCCATTCTTTCATTCTTCCTGTTATTACTCATCACAAACCTATACCAGGTGGGCACACTTGTTGTACTGATGGCTCTTCCAAAGGTCATGCCGCTATCTATGGACCAAAACATACTCAAACAATAATGATCTCGGGTTTCAGCTCAACACTCAGAGCTAATTGCAGTCAGCTGCGAGGTTTTACAGCTCACAGCTTCAGATCCTATCAACTGCAGGGAGACGAAGGCCCGTGGGATGTGAGCAACTCAGCATTCCGCTGGAGGCTATGTGATCAAACAGCAAACTGTTTATCATGAATGCAGGATGTGGGCAAACTCACACTGCCCTGCCACCAAAAGGTCTGCGGAGGGCCTCACTCCCTGGCTCCTTGAAGTTATCTATTGAGAGTTATCTATTGAGAAATCTAGCGCCTATTGTTTTAAGAATGCAGCCTTGCAAGCCTGCTGTGAATCAAGCTGCTGGCCAACAACACACCCCCCCCCCCCCCCGGCAATTCTCGCTATCTCTTTTGCCTAATAAATACGGAGGGCTGTGTAAAGCTCAGGGCCCTCGTCCACTAGAGGCAAGCTGCCCCCTGACCCCTTCTTCCAAATATACTCTTTTATCTCTTGCCTTTATTCCCACACTCGCCCCCTTCGTTCACTCCACCAGGGACCATGGCAGGCTACAATCAACATTGTCAACCATAAAGACAGGTTGCAGACTTTACATGATTTTCAACAATTATTAGGAGATATTAATTGGCTACGCCCGATGTTAGGTATTGCTACCTATCAACTTATACATCTTTACCAAACCCTGCAAGGAGATTCTTCTTCTTCAGCTTATGTTGTAAATGTAGCCAGTCGCATAGAAACTGCTACAGTTGAAAGTACACTAGGCCCAGAACTGCTTAATTTGTTTCACTTATTCTCATATGCTGCATGCTACATGCCAAACAGGTGAGACAGCTGGTCATGCACAGTGACATTGTCTGTCATCATTTGCTCATGTGGGGATACCTAAACAATTAAAAACTGACAATGGACCCACTTATACTAGTCATGCTTTTCAAAATTTCCTACAGCTTTGGGCTCTAACCAATAAAACCGGAATTCCTTATAATCCTAGAGGACAAGACATTATAGAGCAGGCACATCGAACATTACACTGCATGTTGAAAAGACAAAAATGGGGTATAGGAGGCCAACTACCACCTCAATCAAAACTACATTTAGCCTTACTTACTTTAAAATTTTTGACTCCCGGTACGGATGGTAAGACTCCAGCAGAAAGACATTGGCAACTGTTAGAGGAAAAGAGGAAAGTTTATCCAAAAATGTTATGGAAATCCCCAGAAGAAGAACAATAGAAAGGCCCGGTGGATTTACTGACATGGGGAAGAGGATATGCTTGTGTTTTACAGGAGATGGACAAGCTGTGTGGGTGCCCTCAAGGTGTGTGCAACCATGGAATGGGAGACTGGAGGGACCCAAGGTGGCCAACCATGGGCCCAGTCCCTCCGGTACGAGCCATGAGTCAGCTGAGCCTGAGTGCAGAGATGGAGAGAAGGCCGACTGGAGTCACGACACAGTCTTAATGTTACATTTGTAAAGAATATCACCAGTTTGCAGTTTGTGTTTTTAATACTTATGTCTTTTTGGCAGCTAAGAACGACCAGTTCCAGGTAAACAATAACCAGTTGACCTGTAAAGCTTGCCAGTTGTATCATTGCATTAATCATAGCACATTGCGAACACATAGTATCTCTACATTGATCATTTTAGGTTGCATCCCTGGGCTATGGATTCCTGTTCATCTGTCCAAGGCTTGGGCTGCCACACCTGCTTTGCATTTTGTGAAACTTCTTCTAACTCAGCTTACTCATTGTGCCTATAGAGCCTTAAGCATAATAATTTTTGTTATCGTTTCCTTGGTCACACTAATAACTTCTGTTGTGATGTCCTCTGTAGCTTTGCATAATTCTGTTCAAATGGCTCAGCACGTAGAGAACTGGACACGTACAGACAAGCGTGGCTACTTCAGAATAAAGTTAACACTGAGTTACAAACTGAAGTGGCAATGTTGAAATCCACGGTTCTGTGGTTAGGGGAACAAGTACAAAGCTTGCAGTTGCAGCAGCAATTGCGTCATCATTTTAATCACGCTCATATTTGTGTAACCAACTTAGAATACAACCAAAGTGAGTATCCATGGGACCTTGTGAAAGCCCATTTGCAGGGAGCTTTCACATCCAACCTCACCTTTGATATTGGTGAATTACAAAACAAAATTCTTCATTTAAATAGGCAAACTCAAGAATTTCAGCCTTCTTTAGAAGACTGGACTGAATTCCAGGAAGGCCTGGAGAGCCTCAACCCTTGGACCTATCTAAAGTACCACAGTAACATCTTATATGTAGTTCTTGGAATTATGTTGTTTTATCTCTATCTTCTGTTTATAGTCTGTAAAATTGGATGGACCGCCAATTGAAGTATGAGAACTGCCCAGAAAGGGAGATATGCAGGGAGCTGAAGGCCCCTGGGACATGACCAACTCAGCATTCCACTGGAGGCTATATGATGAAAGAGCAAACTGTTTATCATGAATACAGGATGTGAGCAGACTCACAACTGCTCCTGCCGCCAGAAGGTTTGCAGAGGGCAGTTGCTTCCTGGCGCCAAGCTCTTTGAAGTTATCTACTGGGACATCTAGAGAATGTAGTCTTGTAAGCCTACTCTGGACCAACCAGCTGACCTCTTCTCCCACCCCCTTTCTCACTATCTCTTTTGACTAATAAATATGGAGGGCTGTGTAAAGTTCAGGGCCCTTGTCCACTAGAGGCAAGGTGCCCCCTGACCCCTTCTTCCAAATATACTATTTTGTCTCTTGTCTTTTATTCCCACGTTCACCCCTCTTTGTTCAGTCCACCAGGGATCATGGCAGGTTACATAGTGGCACCCCGAACAGCGAGATAATCGAGTGCTCAACAGATCCTCATGTATAATTTGAGCCCCAATGTAAAGTCCATAAATTTTTGTCAATTTGAGCATTTTTGCTGTTGTTGAAGTTAAGTTAGTACCTATGTTGTAAAGGCACAAAACCAAATCAGTGCATTTTTATCTTTTTGTTATATAGATTTTTTGGTATAAAAATTAATATATGAATTTTGAATTCCCAAACAAATGAAATTGTAAAACTTTATTTTGATGCGGTTATATATTAAATGTACATAATCCACCTATTTGTCAAATATTTACATGAAAATATATACATATATACATATGATGTATTGAATTTCCTTTTATCACCCTCCCATTAGAAGTTTGTTCATAAATCACTAAGTATTCTAGGGCTAGGATTATGTTTCCTAGAACTGGATTCTGCTCAGTACTTAAAGTTCTTCTTTTTTTTTTCCTTGGACTCATGACTGTGGTGTAGAACTGGAAACTGTGTCAAGGGTGACTGAATCCTGAGCCTCATATGAGAAAATTAAGCTTGTTTTCAGACTGGATGCCGAGGCAACAGACCCTTATAAGCATTCACTGCAGTGAAGAAGAGTGATGAATGTTGGGTAGGCAGCTGTCAGTCTTGGCCAGAATTATGCCTTCGGGTACTCAAGATCCCTTTACACTCTTCTCCCAAATAGAAGAAGTAGAGCCATCCTTCCCAAGGATGATATCCCCAACGTTTTATGTTGAAGTTTCTTTGTGATAACTGTCCCATAACTTAAAAGAATACTCAGATTCAAAGCCCCAATATACCACGATGCAATGAGAATTGTGAATCCACAATGGAAACTCCTAATGAGGAAAAGAAAAACGGGGAGATGCAGCAGGCACTGTTCTACTGCAATTAACCAAGGCCAGTGGGAAGGAATAGTAAGAATCTCCTATCCTGACGGTGGAGGAAGTCTCTTAATTAGCCCATCTGGAAGCCCTGGCTCTCTTATCTAGAAGTCACACACTGTCCTTCATGGCTCCTGACTTTCTCTCTTGCATTTTTTTTCATTGTTCCTCATTTTCTATGGCCACAACTTAGTTGGGCATTAAAGAATATACTTTTTTTTTTTTTGAAATTAAAAGCATTTATAGGAGTCAAAAGTGTGAACGAAATGGGCAAACTGCTCTGCCTTGGAAATGCACAGAACTCTAGGGAAGACAGGAGAAAAATGAGTGAGTAAAGCAGTGGAGTGAGAGAGGACATTGATAACAGGACTCCTTGATCTTCTTGTTGAGTGGTGTCTTTTGCCAGTGCATCAGGAAAGTATGTTACACAATACAAAAATGACAATTTCTGAGTGTTTACGTGGAGAAAGCAAGGTAAAGGGCTGAGTTATGAGCTGGTTGATTTAAATACAAAGTCATTAGGCAGTGGTTAGCGAGAGTACTCTATTGAAGCGGAAACTCAAAATTTAAGGTGTTCATGAAAATGGAAGCCACCTGGGAATTTATAAATATTGTGCACATGAGGATGAGAATTTACTAGACATGACTTGGTTCATGTTATGAGGGCTGGAGATAATTTTAGACATCAAATGTTTCTCACCTAAATATCTAGGTGACACTACTATTTATTGATTCATTAATTCAGTATTTATTGAGTGCCTACCACATGTCAGACACTATTTTACACATAGGGGGTGAGGATCCATCTGTAAGCAATACAGACCACAATCTTTGCCCTCAGATAGCTTACATTCTTATTATATGAAAGGAACGATGTGAAGTTTGTATACAGTTGTTATCCCACTTCATGCCAATAAACTTCATAGTTGGGATGAAATGGCCAAATTTCTTGAAAATAATAGTTTACCAAAAGTGAAAGATATGAAACAGAAAACTGAACAATGTAATAATTGTTAAAGAAATTAAACCTATATTTAAAATCCTTCCCAGAAAGAAAATCCAAGACCCAGTTGGCTTCATGTAAATGTTTTTAAAAAGTATTTTTAATAAACACTTTTTATAAATTTTGAAGCAAGGTGCGGTGGCTCACGCCTGTAATCCCAGCACTTTGGGAGGCCGAGGCGGGCAGATCACTTGAGGGCAGGAGTTTGAGACCAGGCTGGCCAACATAGTGAAACTCCATCTCTACTAAAAATTAGCCAGGCATAGTGGCACATGCCTGTAGTCCCAGCGACTCGGGAGGCTGAGGCATGAGAATCGTTTGAACCCAGGAGCCGGAAGTTGCAGTGAGCCAAGATCACGCCACTGCACTCCATCCTAGGTGACAGAGTGAGACACTGTCTCAAAAGAAATTTTTTTTTGAAAATTAAAAAAAAAAGTTTAAGTGTAACAGTGTTAAAAAAGATATAATACTACAGAAGAGAATCAGAAAATCATTTTCCAACTCCATTCAGGAGACCATTAGGGGTGGATGTAAAACCTAACAAGGACAGTAGAGAAAAGTGAAATAACAGAATCATCTTTACATAAACATAAATACAGAAATTCTAAACAAATCTAGAAGATCAATTACAAGTATCTAAGATATATCATGAGCAAGCGTGATTCATTTCAGAAACGCAAGGGTAGTATAACATTGAAGAATTCATCAACCTAATTTGTAATGATGAAAATGAAAGAATAAAAATAATCATGTTAATATTGGCAGAAATTACATTTAAAAAAATTTAACATCCATTCATAATTTAAGCAATAGAAGAAGAAAACTCTTAAAAAGTGAGGATAGAAGACACCTTCAATAATCTGATTAAAAAGAGAAACATACAAAAAGGTGACAGCAAACATTATACTTAAGGGTAAAGTAATTAAGTTTTCCCTTTAATGTATACGATCTCATCTAAGCCTGACAAACCCCAACCACTCTTTCTGTTTTCTTGTAGTTTTTTTGCATTTCCAGTTACCCCAGGGTACAGGCTGAGGTCCAGAAATTAGAAATGACACTCACAATAGCCTCATTTTCTATTTCTTACTCTCAAATCAGGTGGCACAGAAGTGTTTTTTCCTGATTAAAAACTTGATCACTCATCCTTGAATGGCTTAATATGACTGAAGGGTAGATGAAGCTGGAACTGGCATGAGGGTAGGATGAGAAAGAGCTAAAAAATATCCCTGACCCCCTCCTCACATTGCCTGTAACTCCACCTCTGCAGGAAGTGAAGCAGTGTTTGTAGCTCTGTCACTGGTCTGGGCTGAGGGGTTGAGGCAGCCCTCAACAGCCCATCTGCTGTAGTCATCCATCATAAGGCATTTTTAGGAAATTCTTTTTTTTAGATTTGGGAACAGGAAGAACTTTTGGGTTGCTAAATGGAGATGTGGTGTCGATAATCACGCTTTTATTAATCAGGTTTTGTATAATACATTTTAATCCTTGAAGGTGCTGTTTCAACTTCTGTTGGGCTGTAATAAATTATCTTAACTGTGGGACTAAGGGGCCCCATTTGATCAAGCTAATTTGTAAGTGCCAAAAGCTTACTTTAATTTTAATTTGTTATTAATTGTGTCACAGAGTCTACATGCAACATGGAATATTTTAGAGCAATGACTGTATGGCTTTGGGAAATTTAGGTGACACTACAGATAAAGTGAGGTCTACTCATTTTTCAAAATTTTAGTTAGCTTCTCAAGATTATGGGGGTAGAGTAAGTAAATTTAATGGGATCCCGATGTACTACTATAAGTTGAGTCCCACTACTAAGTCCATAAATTTTTGTCAATTCATGCGGCTGGAGTGTAGTAGCACAATCTCGGCTCACTGCAACCTCCACCTCCCAGGTTCAAGCAATTCTCCTGCCTCAGCCTCCCGAGTAGCTGGGATTACAGGCACCTGGCATCACGCCCGACTAATTTCTGTAACTTTTAGTAGAGATGGGTTTTCACCATGTTGGCCAGGCTGATCTTGAACTTCTGACCTCAGGTCATCTGCCCACCTCGGCCTCCCCGACTGCCGGGATTACGGGCGTGAGCCACCGCACCTGGCCACTAATGTTAAAAGTTAAGTTAGAACCTATATTGTAGAGGAACAAAAGCCAATCAGTGTCCTTTTTGTCTTTTTTTTACATAAACTTTTACTACAAAAATTAATATATGGATTTTGACTTTCTAGTCAAATCAAATTATAAAACTGTTTCAATTTGGTTACATATTATGTATACATAATTTATCTATTATATATTTACATTAAAATATATGCCTATATAATGGATTTAATTTCCTTTTGTCACCCCCATATCTAGAATTTTCTTCATAAATTAGTAAGTAATCTAGGGCCAGCATTATGTTTGCTAGACCTGGTTTTGGCTCAGCACTTAAAGTTAAAAGTTTCTCTCTTTTTTCTTGGACTTGTAGCTGCCTAAAGCATCAGTCTCTCTGTTATTTTTTTCTATTTTCTTTTTTCCCCCATCAGTCTTTTAGCCATTTGAAGCCAAAATTCTTAGTTTCTGCCCTGGTTGATAAGAGAAAAAGGGGAAGGAGGAAAAGGGCCCGGTGCCACTAAATAGTCAACTCTCTCTGGGAAGGACCCCATTACAAGACAATGAGTCCCTCTCCTCTCTTTTTTTCTATTTTCTGTAAAATCTTTAAAATGGCTTGCATTTCTAGGCATCTAATATTTATACACTTTTTATTTCCTATCCTCACTCTCCGGATGTTTACTGGACAAGATCCCAGTGGTATGGAGTAGCACTCTGCTCTTTTCACTTTACACATTGTTATCAAAAAAGGAAAAAATTAATGGTAATGAGAGTTAGTCCAAACTGTACCACTTTGTAAGCCCGCCACCATTTTGCAGACCTTGATCAAAGGTCTGCAAACATTCCACGGGATTTCGGGCCATGAGAAACATCCTCCTAACCACCTGACCATGAGGCAGAAGAACATCCTTATCATACCCAGCCGGGCAAAGGCCCAAGGCATTTCACTATCACATTCTGCAGGAACAAGTGCCAAACCGCCTCATCATGGGAACATGTTATCAACATTTTCCCAGGCAACAGGCCATGCCCCACTTCCAGACCTCCCCCACCCAGGCCTGTAATTGCCAAAGCCTGTAAGCAGTGGTGGGCACTGGCACCGCTGCAGGTTTATGCTAGACGTAAATGCCTGCATTTGCTGTTGAGATGCTCTCTCTCTCTTCGAGTGTCTTTCTTTAACCTCACTTTCTCTTCAAAACCGAACAATGAGTTCCGCTTGCACCGGCCTTGTAGGCAGCTGCTTCTCTTTCCAGGGTGACCCGATCGACCTCTGAGGGGCTGGGAGAATGAGAAGTGATAGCACCAAGGAATGCAGCAACCAAGGAGGCGCTGGCCTCAGCAGCACCTGTTCTCTCAAGGTGTCCTGGACACTCAGGTACGGTTGCCCTGTCACAGGTTAGAGTTAGGCGATTGGATCCTTTCACCCACCTCCCCTTCACTGACACAGTGAAGCCAGCATTCTGTCATCCTCTTCAACCTCACTATGGGGGAATCGCTGCTCCCCAGGAGCCTGGTGGCCCATGGCCCTATCGTCAGCAAGATGGAGGTAGAACTGAGGATAGAGCCACAGCTACCAGGTGGCCAGCTCACCATCCTGACCAGCTCTCTCTGGCCAGAGGCCAGTACTTTGCAACTTAGAGCCAATACAGGCCGGACCACTACGGAGGCCCTAGGTCACCAGATAAACAGGTATGGCTCAAGGGGCAACATACCCTCCATTAGTGGCACCCCTGTCAGGGGCCTGATCCCAGAAAGGGTGTCTGATGTCCCACAGGGAAACACCCTCATTACGATAGGATCTGCCCTCCAGCAGCTGCTGGGGAGCCCGAAGCCTCGGAGAGCCGTCCACAGCCACTGGAATTTCTGGAGAATCTCCAAGGTAACAGCTGAGGACAGCAGTACTAAGCTGCACGAAGCAGCAAAATCAAGCACCAGCAAGCAGTAGTGCCATCCCAGACCGACTGGGCAGGAAGTGTGTGAGTCATCCACAAACACAGACATTGGGATTGTGTCCAAGACACAGCCAAAAGCCTGCCTGGTATGCCAGTGGTATTAAATGAAGCTCTTCAAGTTTCTCTATCAACTCAGCTGGTAGTGACCGTCCTCAGCAGCCACCAGAAGCCAGGACAAAAGAACATCAGGAGGGGATCCACCTGCCCAGGTCTCGTTCGGGCAACCTCACATCGCTGGTCAGATTGTGGGCACAGCTCAATGATGCCACCACAGTGTTAAAGTTTGAGAGGTTTTGGTATTCACAGACCCTGGGAGGTACATGAGACATCTAGAGGCCACACTCAGAGGAGCAAGAGAACAGGCAGGAAGAGAGCTGACGGGGGTGGCAACTGGCAGTGGGAGTGGGGTGTGGCGCACTTCAAGTTCAGGGGCAAATGTCTGTAATGGTTCCCTTTTTTCCTCTGTCGCCCAGGCTGGAGTGCAGTCATGAATCTCGGCTCACTGCAACCTTTGCCTCCTGGGTTCAAGTAATTCTTCTGCCTCAGTCTCCCCAGTAGCTGGAATTACAGGCGACCACCATCATGCCCGGCTAACTTTTTGTATTTTTAGTAGAGCTGAGGTTTCACCATGTTGGCCAGGCTGGTCTCGAACTCCTCGGCCTCCCAAAGTACTGGGATTACCGGTGTGAGCCACCGTGCCCAGCCAAACTACGGTGATTTTCTATGATCGTGAAAATTTGAGAATCTTCCCACCGTGGGCTATTTAACCTCTTTGAGAATGATAGCAATTATCTAGCACTTGTTTACATCTAATACTCATAATAACACGGCGAGGTAGCCATGATTATCCCTTTGTTACCAGGGAGAATCCTTGCCCTAGGGACTTCTGTAGTTTTTTCAGCATCATGCCCAGCCAATCAGTGCAGGCAGCAAAATTTGAAAACCAGACTGAACAAGCCCAGAGCCACTACCTTTGCAAGCTCAAGCGCTGCCACTGAAAGGCGTTCTCCCAAAATTACCAGGATAGGGTCCTGCCCTCATATAATAAATTTTTTCTCCTACTTCTTTTACGCATTTCCTCCTTTTTTTCCTGTCATTACCAGTCACTTTCACTGAGGCCTTCCAAGGGACATTGTTTACTGTAGCTCAGGTTTTCTCAACCTTGGCACCAATGGCATTTAGGGCTGGTTAATTCTTTGTTGCGGTGGACTGGTCTGTACACAGTAGGATGTTTAGCGGCACCCCTGGCCCCTATCCATAGATGCCAGTAGCAACTCCTCATTCAGGAGTGAGAACCAAAAGACATTATCAAAGATCCCTTGGGAGGCAAAATACCTCCCCACCCCCTCCCCCTGCCAGTTGAGTATCACTGTGACCGTGTAAAGAGTACCAGGCTCTGGAGTCAGTTAAATCTCTACTATAATCTTATCTCTGACACCTCGACAGTGTAAATTCTTGATCAGTGACATCTCTTTGAGCCCCTGTTTTCCCCTCTGCAGAACTGAAATGGTTTTTTGATGAAGACTGATTTTCAGGGGAGGATTAAATAACAATAGACATGGACAGGAGGCTGAGGCAGGGGAATCGCTTGAACCTGGGAGGCGGAGGTTGCAGTGAGCTGAGATTGAGATTGCAGTACTGCACTCCAGCTTGGCAACAGAGAGAGACTCCATCTCAAAAAAAAAAAAAAAAAAAGAATAGACATGGAAATCGTCTAGGATAGATCTGTAAATCTATAACAAATTAGAACCCTTAGCCCTCACCAGGCTGTGTGATGTGTTGTGGGGTGCAATCCCGAACCCTGCACTATGAAGCTCAGGGTTGGGACAAGAACGATGCTCATAGCAATAGTAGCTTCTACTTATGAACATTAATCCACACACCAAGAGCTTCTCCCGTAACCCTCACAACTCCTCTCATAGGCTCTGCGGATGGGATGTGTTAATATGTGTAAGCACTGAGCACATCCTGAGACACAGTGAATATCGATTAATGTTAGTTCTAATTCGTATAACCATTGTACAGATGAGAAAGTTGAGACTTAGATTGGGGTGGGATGTGGTGAGGGACAAAAGACCGTTTTTTATACCCAAAAAAAATTGAAAATTGTATTTCTACTAGATCATTCTATCACATAATCACACCCCCTTCTCTTTGAAGAGAAACCTCCTTTGAACCATATTTCTTTCCAGCTTCAACCCTATTCAGCCAAATGACCTCTCTGTCAGGGGAATTTTCAGCCAAACATCCAAAGATAATGTCTCTAATTCCTCCTTTTTCTTCCTCGCCTCAGCTGTTCTCCTTAATCCACTCCATATTGACTTCTGTCCTTAGCACTCCACCTAATGCGTTTTCCCAAGAATGCTTATGACCCCCAGGCTGACAACTCCAGTGAGTTCTTCTCAGTTTTTATCCCGATATCCCAGTGACACAGGACCCATTGGATCACTTTCTCCCTTTTCAAACACATTTTTCCTATGCCATGCGATATATCCAAGAGATATGTACACACAATACACTCTTGGTCTTCTCTACAGCTCAATTCACTTCCTCTTTTCAGTCCAATTTACTGGTGTTTTCTATTCTAAATTTGACTCCAAATGTTGGGGCATCTCACATTCTATAAATGATATCATCCAGTCTCTGGGATTAAACCATTGTGTGTCTTTTCATCTAAATTATCAGCCGTGGCCTCTCACTGGCACTCAAGTCTGATAAAACCTCTCCCCATGGTAGTCCCATAGACACTCCAAACCTCACATGGTTTTACCAAACTGTAGATGTTCCCTGCCTCCCAAACCTGCCACTCTTCCAATATTCTGTATCTATTTGGAGATTAAACGTTCAGTTGTTAAAGCTCCAGATTTAGAACTCACCTTTTATTTCTCTTTTCCTCACCACCCAACGCCATCCACATCTTATGCATTGTATCTACAGAACATGCTGAATGCCCAGCCAGAACTATTGCCATCTCCATGGCCCTGTCAGGCTTGGATATTTGCGCAAACCTTGCAAGTAGCTTTTTCCTGGTCCTGCTGCCCCCTCCCCTAAGATCCATTCTCCAGACAGAAACCAAATGAGCTTTAAAAAGGTCCAATAAGATGGTGACGTTATTCTCCATACCTTCCGACGGCTTCCAGACTTCTAAGTTACCCTTATCTTAGGTTCCCTTATTCACTGCCACATGTGCCCTGTGCATCCCTCAAACCTCATCTCTGTACTCTCTCACTGGGCTCCACCCACTGGGCTCTTGTTCCTTGAACTTGCAGCTCATTGTCATCTCAGGGCCTCTGCTTTCTCTGTTCCTTCTGACTACTGTGCTCTTCGTCTTGAGCTTCCCGCATCTGGCTCATTCTGAATATTCATATTTCAGGTCAAATATTGTTTCAGAGAGATCCCGCCTGACCCACTCTGCAAAGCAGAATGCCCAGGTGCAGCCTGTCTCACCAGGTACTTATCTCCTTTATTTGTTGTTCATTTATTTTCTCTCTTAAATACCCTCCACACTAGTACGTAAGATCCACAGGACTGCCAAGATCATCCAGTGCTACATCTTTAGACTAACACTGTCCAATAGAAATATAATATGTTAACTTTAGCCACATATGGGACTTACAACTTTTTTGTAGCCATTATTTTTTTTTAAAAGTAAAACACCTTTGGGGAAATTATTTTAGTAATACATTTTATTTAATTACATACATGATAAAGAATTGGCCACGCACGGTGGCTCACACCTGTAATCCCAGCACTTTGGGAGACCAAGGCGGGCAGATCACAAGGTCAGAAGTTCAAGACCAGCCTGGCCAGCATATTGAAACCCCGTCTCTAATAAAAATACAAAAAATTAGCAGGGCATGGTGTCAAGTGCCTGCAATCCCAGCTGCTTGGGAGGCTGAGGCAGGAGAATCGCTTGAACCCAGAAGGCAGAGGTTGCAGTGAGTTGAGATTGCGCCACTGCACTCCAGCCTGGGTGACAGTGCAAGACTCTGTCTCAAAAAACAAACAAACAAACAAACAAAAAGAATATTACTGAAACATGTAACCAAATTAAACATTGTTAATGAAATAGTTAACATTGTTTTCACACTAACTCTTCAAGCATACTATGTGCATTTTTATCCATACAGCACAACTCAGGTCAGACTAGGAACAGCAGGAGATCAATAGCCATGTGTGAGAAGTGGATTCTTCACTGGACTGCACTACTCCAGCGTTAGAAGGGCTCTGTCATGTAGCAGGCATTTCAACAATAACTTTAAAATTTTCAGACCCCAACTTACCACCAGCTGAGATCCTTTTCCTGTGCCCAGTTCCTGGATTCTTGTGGAGCAACTCAGGCTCTAAGGACTTGTCAAAAGATGAAGTTACACGTTTGGTTTTAAGATCTTAATTGGCTTTGTAATAATAGAATCAGACAGTCTTTCATGCTATAAAATAACACGAATATTTTGATGGTTAGAGCCGAGAAAGTTGGTTTTATAGGGACAGGAGGGCTAAAGAAAGCAGAAACAAGAACAAAAAATTGATTCGTCATTTGGACGTTGCATTTTTCTGTGCGGCAGGAATAGAGAGACAGCAATAAGGAACAACTGATTGATTGAAGTCAAGTTACCACAGATTACTTTTTTTTTGTTTGGTGAAGATGAAAGCAGAGAGAACTTCATTTTCATGTCCACTGAAACTGGCCTGTTTTAGGAATTTGTCCATTTTCTCTCTCTCCTGATTTCTCAAAAGTTCAGGTAAACAAATTAGTTTTGGTTTGGTGATGTGGAGTTTTAGTATGACTGACTCCATTTGGTTTGCTCTGTAGAACCTAGTGCAGTAGGTCAGTCCAAACCACTTACTTCCTGTTTTTATAGAACAGGTTTCAGCAGAGACGTAGGTTGAAGGACACAGGGACAATGGAGCTGGAATCAACCCTGACACAAACGCGGGGTTTCTTACCCTTCCCAGAAGACACCTTGGAGATGTTGTCAGACCATTTCGCTTAGAAACTTATGTGTCTGAATGTTCCTTCACCTCCAGCCCTCTGTGGGAGACCAGAGTCCATCCTTCCAAATATGAAAGGCCAAGGAATCTGAGAGTCCAGGCCCTTTCTTTTCAGAGATTCAGGAAAATGAAAGAAACAATTACCAAGGTGAGAAGAATGAGAGGACAACAATAAATATCAAAGATGCATGGTTAAACAAAAACTCGATTCTCTACTTTCACAATCCTTCTGACCAAATGTAGTTTTTCTCCGCACCAAGAAATTCTCCAATTCTCTGGGGACACCAACTGGGCCACCTGCAATTAAAAATCCAGTTCTGATTCTGTCTACCTGGATTTATCATCAGATCTCAAGAGTTAAAGGGCTCACTCCCACAAACTGTTCTCACATCAGACGTCTGTTGCAAGTCCCAGGTGACCACTTGTACTTCTGCCTGACAGGCTATAAACTGGGTGTTCCAATGACACCAATAAATTGCTAGAATGGCACATAGAACTCAGGAAAGCACTTTGTTTATGTTTGCTGCTTTATATAAAGAATACACCTCAGGAATAATCCATTGGAAAGAAGCATATGGCAGGTATGTGGCAGGAAAGGGGTTGGGTGGCACATGGAGCTTCCTTGCTCTCTCCAGGCAGCCATTCTCCCAGCACCCCTAAGTGTTCACCAATGTGGAAACTCATCAAATCTCACTGTTCAAGAGTTTTTATAGAACTCTATCTCCAGTCCCTGCCTCCCCTTCCTGGAGGTCAGTAGGTGGGGCCAATGGCCCTAGCCCTCTAATCCCTTGGTCTTACTGGTGACCAGTCCCATCCAAAGGCCATCATCTCCTTAGCATAACTCAGCTGTGATCAAAAGGGGCTCTTTACGAATAACAAAAAAACACTCCTATCACTCAGGGAATTCCAAGGGTTTTAAGAGCCCCGTACCAGAAATCTGTGACAAAATCAAATATGCTTTGAGGTATTTTACACCTCGGAGTTACAAAAAGAAGCAGTAACTAGGAGCATGGAGGGAGGTAAGGGAGGTGAATGAGAGACACCTTTCATCCCACACCATTGCCGAGATTAACCCCCTAACCTTCTGCTCTTAGGGAGATGCTCTATGGACCACTGATCTGAGGAGATGGACTCTTTCTGAGTTTTTAAACACCATCAGAATGTTGTTCTCAAGCCCAAGGAATAGAACCATGAAAAACAGTAGAAAGCCACAAAACAAGAGTCAACTATTTTCTAGTTTCTCTCTGATTCACTGGATGTTTTCAATGATAAGGTAGAGTAAACCAATGAAGCACATAAGCCATGGAGAAATTTATTATTAAAAAAAGTTTTGGAAGGGGATAGATCTGGAGTCTGAACAAAAATTGAGTTTAATGTCACCCTTCCACTCCATCATCATATTGGTTTTCTTCCAGGGCCTTCTTGAAAGTGACCACAGAATGGCTGCCACTGTTCTGGACATCACATCAACAGGCCCTCCTGAGCCAGAAGCATGAGACAAGCAGAAAATGTGACTCATTCACATGCTTCTTTCATTTTACCACAAAGGGAAACCTAGTCCAGAGTCTCTTCAGGACCTCTTCTTGTCTTTCATTGCCAGAGCATGCCATCTCTAGACCAATCAATGGCCAAGAAATAACAAAAATACCAATACATAAAAATAAAGGTCAGGGACAGTGGCTCACACCTGTAGTCCCAGCATTTTGGGAGGCCGAGGCGGGAGGATTGCTTGAGCTCAGGAGTTCAAGACCAGCCTGGGCAACATAGTGAGACCCCATATCTAAAAATATATATATATATTTTGGCTGGGTGTGGTGGTGTGCTCCTGTAATTCCAGCTACTCAGGAGGCTGAAGTAGGAGGATTGCTTTGTCAGGGAGGTGGAGGCTGCAGTGAGCCATAATGATGCCACTGCCCTCGAGCCTGGGTAATGAGCAAAACCTTATCTCAAAAAATAAATAAATAAATAAATAAAGATAAAGAAGTTGCTCATATTGGCTTAGGCCAATCATGATTGATTTCCTAGGACAGTGGCACATTGCTACCTGCCACCTGATTAAAATGAAATGTACTTATCAGTATACTAAAGGGTGGTGGGTATTGCACGGGTGAGGCCTCTGAAGAGTTGCTCCCTTGCTGGCTCCTGCAGACATAGAGCTTAAACAGACATGTGCTCTACCCTGGAGATGCCAACTACCCAGGTAAAGAGATGAGAGAGTCACTCTGCTATGACTAAGCATAGTCTTATGCAGCCTTTGTGCACAATGGTGTCCTCTGCCATTTCCCTAAGCAGTCACAGTAGAGTGGGGGTATACAGTGATAGACAGATACCTGGTTCATTATGAGATTTCCCAAAAGGAACAACTAACTGAGACTGAAAGGGTCCAGGGTCACTTCCAAGTGCAATGCAGCTAACATCCGGGATGAGTCTTAAAGACTCAGATAAAGAAAAAGAAAAAAAATACATTCCAGTCAGAGGAGAGTGAAAGCACACAGAAAAGGGTCAAGAAATAGCAGGTTACCTGTGGTTATTGGAGCATAGATGGTGAGGCAGACAGCAATAAACACTGTGTGTACCAAGTGGCAGAGGCCATCTGTTGGAGGGTCTTGAATGCTACAAGAAGGACTTGGAATCTCTTCATAAATACATGAAAAGCCATTTAAGCAGGAAAGTGACTTGTCAGGTGTGTGCTTCTGAAAAATATTGTTCTGTAGTCCTGCAAAGGGATGGCTTTGAGAATGTTTCTTTTTTTTCTTTTTTTTTTTTTTTTTGAGATGGAGTCTAGCTCTGTTGCCCAGGCTGGAGTGCAGTGGCCGGATCTCAGCTCACTGCAAGCCCCGCCTCCCGGGTTCACGCCATTCTCCTGCCTCAGCCTCCCGAGTAGCTGGGAGTACAGGCGCCCGCCACCTTGCCCGGCTAATTTTTTTTGTATTTTAGTAGAGACGGGGTTTCACCGTGTTAGCCAGGATGGTCTCGATCTCCTGAACTCGTGATCCGCCCGTCTCGGCCTCCCAAAGTGCTGGGATTACAGGCTTGAGCCACCGCGCCCGGCCTCTCACCTCAGATCTAAATCTTCAGTATTTTTTCATTTCATCCCTATCTTCCTGGCATGAGATGTTGTATTGTGAGGTCAGGAGCTATCTTGGGGCTGTGAGGTAGCAATTTCCAGGAAATAAAACAAACAAACAAACAAACAAAAACGCCAAACTAGTGATGAAAAAGTGAAAAGATTAAAATAAACTTTTTTTAATGATATTATTCAGACAGAACGTAACTGAGTACTACTCACTTGCAAAATCTTTGGAAAGTAAACCATAAATGCTGTCTTTGGTTTAAGTCATTGTTAGATGCAATTTTAAATTTTAAACTACTTAAAATTGTAAACAGCCTTACTGACACAAAGCCTTGGGAATAATGCTTTAGGATGACTACTTTATTTCTGCCTCTGCTTCCCATTTCTCTTTATACCACTCTGATATCCTTGGATAGAACCTAGTATTTCAGAAAGCCCACCACCTCTTTGCACTGGAAACCTACAAATGAGCTTCCAATAGAGCCAAAAATTATGGGGTTAATCTTGGCAACGTGCCTGGGTGTGGATGCTCTGTCCTGTCAACTTCTCTGCCTCCCTTCAATCTCTCTGTGGTTTTGGTCTCCATCCTTCTCACCTTCCCAGATGTTTCCCTCTGATTCTTCTCACTGTTACCAGAAGGGGGTCCTGATCCAGACCGCAAGAGAGGATTCTTGGATCTCGCACAAGGAAGAATTCAGCGTGACTCCATAGAATAAAGTGAAAACAAGTTTATTAAGAAAGTAAAAGAATAAAGCATGGCTACTCCATAGACAAAGTAGCCCTGAGGGCTGCTAGTTGCCCATTTTTATGGTTATTTCTTGATGATATGCAAAACAAGGGGTGGATTATTCATGCCTCCCCTTTTTAGACCATATAGGGTAACTTCCTGATGTTCCCATGGCAACCTGTCATGGTGCTGGTGGGGGTGTAGCAGTGAGGATGACCAGAGGTCACTCTCGTCACCATCTTGGTTTTGGTGGGATTTGGTTGGCTTCTTTACTGCAACCTGTTTTATCAGCAAGGTCTTTATGACCTCCTATCTCTTCCTGTGACTTAGAATGCCTTAACTGTCTGGGAATGCAGCCCAGTGGGTCTCAGACTCATTTACCCAGCTCCTATTCAAGATGGAGTTGCTCTGGTTCCAGTGCCTCTGACATCATCACAGCACTTGCTCCTCTCCTTACCTTGACCTTTGAAGGGAGAAGGGGCCTGGACACCCAGATTCCTTGGCTCTTTATGTTGAGAGGGTTGAACCTCTGCATCCCACAAAGACTGAGGTTGAGAAACAGAATCAGGTACTTTAGTTTCTAAATGGGCCCACCCCAACCCACAAATGCTATTAAAACAAGTAGTATACTGGTGTGTTCTCAGGGCTATTAAAAATCGGAAGGAGCTCTGGTTTCTGTTTCCTGTTTCCCAACTGGTTTTAGTTCTCTTACTCCTCCTGTCCCTTGGGGTAACTTCTGCTGTGAAAATTACATGACAGTCACTGTCTCCTGGAACCGGGACCTAGAACTTCCCAGAGCAAGGACCCAGCTGGTGGAAAATAAAAGCCAGATGAAGTACATATCTCTGGGGATGGGGAGCTTGTTAAGGGCATACTTAATAGACCCTTTGGAGTACAATAGACTCTTCGGAGTGAGTAGAAGAAGAATGTGAAGTGGAAGAAAAATTTTTTTTCTTTTATTTTCTTTTTTACTTTAAGGTCTAGGGTACATGTGCAGAACATGCAGGATTGTTTCACAGGTATACACGTGCCATGGTGGTTTGCTGCACCCATCAACCCATCATCTGCATTAGGTATTTCTCCTAATGCTATCCCTCCCCTAGCCCCCCAGCCCTGACAGGCTCTGGGGTATGATATTCCCCTCCCTGTGTCCATGTGTTCTCATTGTTCAACTCCCACTTATAAGTGACAACATGTAAGAGATTCCAGAGAGTATCAGAGTGCTAATAGGAATGATAGAATATAGATAAAGTATTGATACTGCAGGAGACACAGGGAGCAAGTAAAGAAGGGAAGTTCTTAAGTAAACGAGGATGTGAGTTTTGCAACCAGTAGAGGAACCCCTGGGAAGGAACACTTGTTTCTCAATATCAAAGTGAAGGCAGAGAACAGTGGTGCAGGAACTGGCAGGAGGCTAAATCTGGTGAAGTAGGAGGCAGAGGCGTCAGCTTGAGAGCATGAGTGGGGATCAGTGAGGAGTTTCACAGCTTTGAAAAGAAAAACAGAAGGGCCCCAATGATTATTACGGGTAATGGGAAAATGGGTGTAATGTGGAAGTGGTCACCTTTCAGAGCAGGGATGAGTCTCCACATGAAGAGACAGGTCCTCCATGGTGCATGGAACCCTTGGCTAGAATTAAGCTCCACCTTCTCAAGAACTGCAGACTTGGGCTGGTCCCCTCCCCTCTCAAAGGCCTAGTGCCCTCTCCTGTCCCACAATGAGGATGAGGTAGAGTCAACACTGTTGAGATCAGAGGCGAGAATGATGAGAGTGTGATCCAGTGATTGCCACAAAAAAGGAGTTCAAAAAAGCGGTATCCGCTGTGTTTATTGTTCGTTGTAAATCATGGGTTTTCTCCCTCAAACCATGGTGGAGTCATCACGGCACAGCTTTTTCTCACTGGCAGGAATCCTCCTGTCATTGCAGAAGGCTCCCTTATCGATTCCTTTTTTTAAAAAAACCCTCAACCTGATGGCTCACGCCTGTAATCCCAGCACTTTGGGAGGCCGAGGCGGGCAGATCACCCGAGGTTGGAAGTTCAAGACCAACCTGACCAACATGGAGAAACACCGTCTCTACTAAAAATAGAAAAAAATTAGCCAGGTATGGTGATGGGTGCCTGTAATCCCAGCTACTTGGGAGGCTGAGGCAGGAGAATCACTTGAACTTGGGAGGTGGAGGTTGTGGTGAGTCTAGATTGCGCCATTGCATTCCAGCCTGGGCAACAAGAGTGAAACTCCGTCTGAAAAAAAAACCAAAAAAGCCCTCAACCTAAGTTTTACCTCCTTTATAAAAGCTAATCCAAAGTGGATTACAGATTAAATATTAAATGCAAAACTACAAACTTTTTAGAAGAAAACATAGAAGAAATAGTGAAGACTTAAGGCTAAGCAGAGAGTTCATAGATATGACACCAAAAACACAATCCATAGAAGAAAAAAGTATAAATTGGACTTAATTAAAATGGAAAATGCTTATTCTTTTGAAAGTTGCTATTCAGCTTCAGAGTCAGTAAAAAAAAAATTTTTAAACATATCAAATCATGACGTTACCCTGCTCTTCATTCTCCAGTGGTTTCCAAATTTCTAACTTAGACTTACCAAGCTCTACCAGAACTGGTGCAGACATCATTTGATGGAAATCTACTCTCCCTTTCACAGAATAGCAGGTGAATGCAGAGGCTGTTTCAGTAGATGAAGAGACAGAGAGTGAGAGATACAAAGGCACTCACATCAGTGATTGTAAAGATTGAGGGAAAAGGGTAATTTTGTGATTGACAGAAGGCAGCAATGAAGATTATCAAGAGAATAAATACAGTTTCATGGACTAGAATGGAGAGTGCCTGAGAGGCTACTTTATCTTAGAGGCTCGGAAAACAATATCTTGAGGAGGTGACATGTAAGCT